AAATTAATTAGGTAATACTATTGCAGATGTCATATCTAGAAACATTATACTTTTACTTGATGACAATCTCTTAGAAAAAAATATACATTAAAATAAATAAATATAAATAAAATAAACAATAATAATTATAAAAAAAATAAAAATATATAATAAAAATCGAAATATAAAAATAAATAATTTAAGCTTAATTCATTCAAAGAAAAAAAAAAAGAAGACAGAAGAAATTAAAATAAAAAAAAAATCAATTCCAAGTAGAAAAAATTGGAATCAAAAAAATTTTTTGCAATGCTGTTTAATTTAGCAAAAAATAAAAACTTATATTTTAAAATCTTTACATAAATATTAAAATGATTTTTTTTTTTTGCAACATAATTTACTCTATCATTAATTGCTGGTTGGCTTCATTTCTCTTCTTTATGCAACTGTCTTATTATTTATACTTGCAAAGTTTTTTTTTCCTTTATGATATAATTAAAAGTTTATACTTCAATCATTTGCAGTAATATTACAAACTTTTAATATTTTAAAGAGAAATATTTTTATTGCTGCAAAAAAGCTATCATAAGGTTTTTTTTTTTCTTTTATCATTAATGAATGGTACTTTTAGCTTGATGTCATCTTTTCATCATTTCTTTCTTTTCATTTCTATTTTTGATTAAAAAAGAAAAAAAAAATATAAAGTTTTAAAGAAAAAAAAAAATGAACAAATCGTATTTGCACATTTATATACTTTAATTAATCTATCATCTATTTTTTCTTACTAATAAGCCAGTAGAATGAAGAAAAATTGAAATCGAATAAAATAAGAAGAAAGAAAAACACTTTCTTTATTTGTGAAATCATTCGTTTCTACATGAATTTTAAAAAGTTTTTGTAAAAATTAGAAGAAAAATTTTTTTAATATTGCAATTTTAGAATTTCATAGCAATTCATTTTATTTCATTACATCACGGCAATATCATTTCAACATTGTAGCTTTTTTCTGAAAATTACTTAAAAATTTTTTGGTATTTTTGGGAAATTTTTCCGATCTTTTTTTTTCACTTCGCAAGATATGCTTTTTAGATCATTTAACATTATTTGTAAGAATCGGTTGAAATTTTTGCCAATTTAATAAGATAAAAAATGAACTAATAAAATTGTAGCGAAAAAAGAGGTTCACATTAATTCATTTCAAATTGCGATTAAATTATTTTAGAAATTGGAAATAATAAATATTTAAGTAACAGTACAAATACGACTTAATTAATAGTAAATGGTTATAATATTAAAATGAAGACCAGAAATGATGATAAGAAAAAAGAAAAAAAAAAATAAACAAACAATTTCTTACTAATTCCACTTTAAAAAATGAATCCCTCTAAAAGGATTGGTATCGTCTGAAGTGATGTCAAGATTGATGTCATTTTTCGTCTGTAAGTTAATGTCCGGGAAGAAAAGTATTGGTGTATCAAAAATTTTACATCAAATTTCTACAAAAAAAAAAAAAATTGAAGTTTGGTTAGAAAATAGAAAAAGAATTTTTTTACTTTTAAAACTTTGAATAACATAGTTAGAATACGCAAATTTAATCTTTCAATACATATTTACATATGGAATTAATTATTTATTTTTCTTCTTTTTTTTCTTTTTGAATTTCATTTCAGTTTATGATCTTAAAATTTTTATTCCAAAACATGTCAACTGTCAGCTAAAACTAAATACGATGGAAGTATTTTCAAAAATAACTTGAAATAAACATTTAGGGAATGGATAATAGATAAAAATGAGGCAATTAAAATTTGTATGAATTTGTAAAAAGTGAAAAAATTTTATAAAGTAAAATTTCTTCTTGTTAAAAATTGGTAATTGTTTACAATCGAATAATTTCAATATAATTGAATGTATGATATAATAAATTGTGAAGATACTTCACTAAGCTAGCAGTTTCAGTTTATTCACTTAGCTTTAAAAAGTCAGTTTGGAAGTTTTCCTCTTTTAACTTGTCTTAAAGTTTTAGCTTACAAAATGCTAACAAACAAACATCTCATCATCATTACTGTGGTTTAAACTTTATGTCGATTAAACGGTTTAATTATTCAATTTTATTTTTATTACATCAGAATTTATTAATAACTATTGTTTTCAAATAATTCAATGCAATTCAATATATAATAATTTAATAACCTTAATTTGATTTAAGTTGAAGTAACATATTGTTCATAGCAATTATTTTTGATACAATTTTAATAAGTATTTTTTTTGAATTTATATTTCAATTTATATATGAAAACAATGTTTTATTATTTTCAATTCTTTCTTCGCATTTTAATTTTCATCAATAAATGATGATTTGCATATTTCTCTATGCTTTTATCCTTTAAAAAAAAGGAAATATCAGCCATTAATGAAAAAATGATTTATAGCAACAAATTCCTATTTTTAATTTCAAATAGATATATCTAATTAAGAAAGAAAAAATCAACTCTCTTTCTTTCTTCCTCTCTCTTCTTGTTTCTTTATATATGTACATATTTTCTATTCTAATTTTAAATTTTAAGTATATATTTTAATAAAGAAAAAATGAACTTCCTTTTGCCTCTCCTTATAGTTTAGTCCTAAGAAGTCCAACAAAATATTGACAATATGGACAAGAAAAAAAGGAGGAGAGAATTAGTTGAGAGGCGGTGATGTCATCTGTGGGATGTAGGATGTATTATTTTGGAGCGCTATTAGTTATAGATCACTAAATGGCAGCAATTGTTGTAGTTGCAAAAACTAAATATTCTTTTTCATTTTCCTTTTTTTTCTGGTTTTGCTTTTTATCTTTTTTTTATGAAATAAAAATTTTCGTTTTTTTTTTTTTAGTTCCTTTTCATCCATTTAAAAGTGTTTTTAATTAATATAATTATAAATTATTGGTTGAGTTTTATAAATATAAATTATTGAGTTTTCTGCTTTTTTCTTTTCTTCTTTTATAAAATGATTATTTATTTATTTTTTTTAGACAAATTTTAAATTTTGGAAAATTAATTACTTCAAAAATTTTTGCAAAAAAAAAAAAAAAAAAAAAAAAATCTTTTCTTTGTAAATGATTAATTGTCAGTCAATAACTGAAAAGAATTAATAAATTGAAATAAACTGAAAAGCACTAGTAAATTCAAATAACTATATAATTTTATTATCTTTTTCCATAAAATAGCTTCTTTTTTCTAGAAAAATAAAAAGAACAGTAATAATTGAACACAGTATCGTAGAATAGATAGCACTCATAAGAGAATATCAGGAATTAACGTAAGAATTTATCAATAAATCTAACAAATTTATTAAGACAAAAAAATATAATGCAAATTATTGAAATACTATAACGTGATAAAATTAATGGTATAATAAATGCACATTCAAATATTTTTAAAATTACTTGCATACAACTTTGGTAACTTAACTATCATAAATTCACCAAAATATCGAATTTCCATCTTTTTTTTTAAAAAAAAAATGAGATTTTTATATCTTAATTTACTTTTCTGTCATCCGACACACCACTATTTGATAAAAACATTTGTTAATTAAACACAAACAAAAAAGAGTTAGAATAAAAGAAAAATAGCATAAAAATTATTTTCATGTACAATTTTAGAAAAAAAAAAGTGTGAAACTACAAGAAAATGAAAATATAATTTCATTAAATAGAAAAAATTATTTAAATATTAAACAGGGAATTTTGCTCATTAAATTTAGATATTTGTGGATTTCCAATTAATTATTTCAGGGTCTTTCTCCATTTTTCTCATTTATCAATTAATAATAAATTTTTGTGGCATTGTTTCCTTTTGCTATAATATTTTATTTGTTTTAGAAAATGATAAATTCAGAAAGCTTTTATGGGACAAAAAGTTAGAAATTTTACAAAATTTGAAATTTGAGAAATTAATCTTTTTTTTTAGCAAAATAATACAGTAATGAAGTAAAAAATTGATTTTTGATATATTAATTAATCATGCATAATTTTAATTAATTTCAGTTCCCCCAACTCTTGGGAGTTTTCAGGAATTTAAGCCATAAAATGATAACGTGATTGCTTTATTGGTTAGCTAATAATTTAGCTAAAACATCATATAAGAGGATCCTTTAAAAGCATACTTATAAATTGGATGATAATTTTGAAATAACTTCTCATGCAAATAGATCGATCATCTTTTTTTTCTTAAATTTATAACAAGATTGATCTATTTACTTCATTCATCCTACTGATCTTCGAACTTCAAAATTTTCCTATGATAAAGTGATAAACAGGATGTAATTTTGAAATGAAAAATAATAGGAAGGAACCTTCATAGGTTCCTTCGTTTTTCTTTTCACGTTTTTTTCTTCGATTTTACCAAATCTTAAACTTACCTTCAACAACTTCATTATTTATTAAATCGAATGCTCTATGTCAGAGGTATCATCATCGATATAGTTGATAAATGATATTACTGATTTCATAACTTATTTGCTAAATTAAAATATCAATTTGAAATAAGGGAAGATTATTGATCATAATGGATGAAGTAAATTGATATTATTGTGCTATCAATTAATGTATTATCAATTAATGCATTAACGTATTATAAAAAGAGACTAATAATTTTTAATGGAAGTGAATTTTTTTTTTTTTTTTTGTATCCACTCTCTTTAAAACAAATTATAATTAATGATAGCAAATAAAATAATTTTTTTTTTCTTTTCTTTTTTTCTTTGTATATTTAAAATTAAAATTTCATCTTTATTTCATTTCAATAATTTTACCGTTTACTCATTTTTCCTTGTCATTTTTCGCTACGAGATGTTTACAAATGTCAACAACTGGTTTCGATTGAAATTTTGAAGATTTCTATTTTTCTTTCTCTTCCTGTTTCTGTCTTTCTCCCTCCCTCTCCCTCTCTCTCTCTCTCTCTTTCTCCCTCATATTCACTATACAATTGTCCACTTTTTAAAACTAATCCAAGAAAAAAGAAAAAAAAAAAACTGCAGTAAGAAATAGAAGGGAAAGAGAGAGAGGGAGAGAGAGAGGAATCAATGCAAATTGTAAAATGACATCATTTTACTTCTTCCGTCCTTCAACACACCATTATGTTATTTAAAAAAAAATTGCATTTGTCCATGTCTGTTTGTATCTCTCTCTCTCTCTCTCTCTCTCTCTCTCTCTCTCTGTGTACCAATAAACTATTTACTGTTGTGTTTAAAGATGGCCATAGTAAGCAGTAGTTACATTTGAATATTCTAACAAATTCCATATGAGCAATTTGTATTACAGAATGGAACTGAAAAGAGACATTCAGGTCCAAATGCTCATAATTTCCTCTGCAAAATATCAAAAAAAAAAAAAGACGATCAAAACCGGAGTACTTTCATTACGGAAGTAGCAAATTTGCTTCCAAATAATTCTTTTCTTTTTTAAAGAAAAAAAAAAAAGACTTTATGACAAGCAAAAACCATTGTTGTATTATAAATTACTGATAATACAATGAATAATTTAGCAATACGATAATTATAATTGCAAAAAAGACGTTCGATGAAGTACGGTGGTTTGAATTATTACTGTACATTTTTTTTATTTACTATCACTATCACTGATTGTGCTTTGAGAAAATGTTGAATATTACTACTCAAAAATGATATATTTGCTGGCTTTTTGATCTTTCACTCTTCTCTTACCATCAGTTCAATCAATTTCATCGCTTACCAAATAGTCTTATTTTATTGACTGATTAGAATGATGGTATCAGTTAAAATTAGAAGAGATAATAAAGGAATAAGGAGGACAGATGTCATATGGATTTATCATTATCAACCGAAGATTTCATAATTCACCATGAATCACTATGAAATTTTTCTTGTTAATGAAGACAGCAGTTGGACTTTATTCTGTAAGAGAAAAGGAGAGGAGAGAGATAGAAAGAGAAAGAAATTCGGAAACCAAATATCAGATATTTTATACGGTTTATTGGCAGATGGGATGTATGAAGAGGTAAAATTAGGTTATTATAAGGAAGAAAATGGTTGGTAAGAATTTTGGTAATTAATAATTTGGTAGTATATCAAATGCTCTTTTATATTACTTCTGATTAACATAGAGTTTTTTTCTCTTATTTCCATATTCATCCACACATATGTACCTGAAAGTTTATGGCACTAAAAAAGGGACTGAAGTATTTAAAACTTAAAAATCATATGATCACTGTGACTGAATGACTTATGAAATATCACTAATCAATGGTCCAATATTTAATCAACGATAACTTTTATCCTATTAATTTAATACTAAAAAGAAGTGATACTTCTACTGAATGACATTTTGATGATCAAATGTTAAACTAGAAATTATAACTTCATTCTCATGCAATTTAAATATTAACTCTACAACTGAAATACTCCTTTTTTTTGCATATTAAAACTTAAATATTGTTTGATGTTCCGCTCAGTAAAACGAAATATAAATTTTGTTACTAAATATCATGTTATATATTAATCATTTTGTAATCAAATTAAAAATTGCTCATATTTTCTGCTTCTTAAATGAAATAATATGTTGCAGATCAAATTTCCATTTAAATTCTATTTATAAAAAAGAAAAACCTTTAATTTAATCAAAATTACACTAAAATCTAACACTAATCTCCTCAAATTCAGTCAAAAATATTATTACTTCCCACTCGCTCGCATATTTCGAAATCATCAATGCTACGACGAAATCCCAACTGCTTAAGCCTAACAGAGGCCAGTGTATGGGCCGTTATATCCGGGTCATCCGCATTTCCCTCATTCATTTTGTCCTCTTTGCATTGTCCTTGTGATATTAGGCGTACTCTTGATTTCTGTATTTGTTATGGTATTCCTTTAAAAGAAGAATTAAACTTTTCTCAGTACGCACCAAATTCATTTAACTAATAAATGTGTGTTATCAGTTATTATATTTTAAAATTTAAGCTTCAGTAGTCTCTTTCTCAAAATTCATTTAAATTCTGAAAATTCCTTTCTCATTCATGAATGACAGTGTATTTTAATGTTACATTCGTTCAATTTATTAAATTACAAGTATAATCATTCTTATTGCTCTCTTTTTACATTTAAACATTCAAGTCACTTGCAAGAGTAATTTATCTTCAAATTCAACTATTACAATTAGGCATTAAAATAAGTGAAATCTTTAGATTGGATAATTTTTAATGTTTGTATTTATTTATTTTTTACTTTTTAATATTTGCATATATTTTTTTTTAATACTTGGCAATTTTTAATATTTGTATTTTTCTATAGTTAGCTGTTTTATACGAAATATGCTTTTTTACCTACATTATACTTCATACTGTTGAATTAATATGGGTAGGAATTATTAAATTGTTTAATTTATAACCGACTTCACTTTCTTATCTTTTTTTCAATCTTTTTTCATTATTTATCTTCAAGAATGCTTTTCTTCAGTTCTCTTCCAATTCACTTTTTTTTTTTTTTTTTTTTTTTCACTTGATTTGGTATTTTCAAATTTGAAAAAATAGGAGATTTTTCCTTTAAATGAATTTGGGTAAAAGACATACTAAATAAACTGGGAAATTCATGTTTACTGAGTACGTGTTTTAAATATTTCAATATTCACAGCATTAGAAAAAAATTTTTTCTACTGTTGATATTTACAGATTTCCTTACTATGCTGACAATATTGAGGCATCTTTTGGAATGCCACAACTTGCCTTGTACTAAGAATTTTTTTACTAATGCTCAACAAATGTGATGGTTCAACGTGTACGCCTACGTTATCGTCAATGTCAGGATTCAGTCCGTCAAGGACTTCTACTGTTAAAATCGGTAAGCAACATCGTGCTACCACTACAACGACCACTATCACTAAACCGGTTAATTTTTTTGCTCTCTTTCTTCATTTCCAAATATTTTGACCTTATTTCTCTTCTTAGTAAAAGAAGAAGTTGAAATTGTTAGTGAGATGAAAAAAACTGCAGTTGAATTTTTCTAAATAATACATTCTTAAATGATTTTTGTCACATTAGGATAGATTGATGAAACGATGGACTTCAGTTTTGCAAAAAATGATTTCACAACTTATGTGTAGAAATTCAGACCTTTATTTAAGTTGTCGCGAGTCTTTTTTTTGACCGAAACATTTCTGAAAGTTTGTCTTTTCTCCTATGTTGCTTATATTCCTTCCTTTTGGTACATGTCTCATTTCATCCATTTCTCATTTTATTTTATAAATTTATTGATTGTCTAGAGACAATCAGATACGAAATTTGGCTCAGATGTCTTGATATTTTATCAAAATATGAATGTAAGATTCTCCAGTATCCTGAACAAATAAATTATAATATGAAATCTCAAATTATTCTTTCGACAAATGGCTTTCAATAGCTATATTTTAATAAACGAGAAAAGAATGATGAAGTGAAGCAAACAGTGGTTGTTTAATTTTCGTATGTACAGCTTTGGTCGGAAATATTTGAATGAATAGCAAGATATGTTAGTCATAAAGGCTCTCTTTGACATATGGATTTTTTATTAATATCCAAAATTTCACGACTGTTTATTTAAGCGTCATTAGTAAAGGCGTCAGAAACTTTTTTCAGAATTTTCTTTTCAAATTTCACATATTTATTCCAGAGCAGAACAGTTTTTACTGTCAACAACATTACAGAGTAACTGTGATTTCTACTTTACAAACCAGTTCTTGACGGCTAAATCAGTGGGTCAACAAGCTAGTGAACTACGACCAAGACCGATCTATGACGTATTTTTAGGTGGAAGTTGTGGTAATACTGTATGGCGAAGAGATTTGGTTAGCGCTTTCTCTTTATATCTAGCATGAAGTATACATTGCAAAGCCGGTCCCGGGAATTACTGTTTGCATCGGAGGTGAGGAAGAGGTTTCGTTAATGATTGGTGGAACTAAAATTTTAAAATTCCAATAAATACTAGTGAAATTTAATATGAAAGCATATTAAATTATGGAGAACTAAATTAGTCGATCATAGATTTCCCAATGACACTACACGTTTATGCATTTTTTGGTTTGCACATCTACACGTCATAAATAGTCCGATTAGTTCAATTAATCTGAATTCAAAAAAATTGGAAATTCAAATTAGAAATTCGTTTGTGTAAGACTAAATTTCATGCTTTAGGTGATACCTTACTTGGAAAAACGCGCCATCAGCTATTATGATCCTCAACGAAGCGTTTGGAATGAACATATGATTAACGAAGAAAGCGTCGCCAAAGAGGTTTTTTTGTCAACTGAATTTGTCTTCAATATTGAATGTTTTTCTATAAATGAATTTAGATTCATAGAAATTGAGTGCAAATATACAGCACATCAAAACAAATATATATGCTAGATCTGTCTAAGTTAATGTGGAAATAAGAAACTGATGGTTACAGAAAGTTATCTGGTTGCGGGAAAAGTAAAAATACTAAAAAAAAAAAAAAGAAAAAAAACCATAGAAAAAGTATAGAAGCGAAAAATATTCAGAAATGATCGAAATCTAAACGAAACTTTGTTCCAGAATTCAAATCTGTTCTTATTCGTGCTTGATCCAGCAACTGTTAATGCAACATCATTTCTGGAAATCGCCCATTTCGCTGCTCGGAAAGCACCAAAGCTAGTAGTTGTTTTCTTGGGACAATCAGAGTGGAAAGAACGAGCGCATCCCGAAGATTTACCTGATAGGCAACGTACATGTGATCTTCTTGATGATATACTAACAATGCATGATGTTCCTGTCTTACAGTCCATTCAGGTTCTCTTATCCACACTTAAAGTAACGAAATTTCATCATTTTGTTGTAATGCAAATACCAGTACGTCTCAATTTTTGTTTTTGTTTGTTTTTTTTTTTTTTTTTGGCAGCGGAAGCACTAACTGCATACATCATTTAATGGAAATTCATAGCAGTGTGCTTAATTTTAAATATTTACAGGATGCACTTCGTTACATTGATGAAATTATAATTGGGGAAAAAAGCTGGTCTGAAGCAATGTCTAATCCGTTTCAAAGACTTCCGTATATGCTCCTACGAGGAAAGCGTACATGTCGGCAATCAGTTAATCATATACGAAATACTTTACGAAATGTTAAAAATGGCGTAACAAAGTGGAGGGGATGCAAGTTTGTCTTATTAGGTAATTCCTTTCTGTTAGTACAAA